AGGAATAAAAACTTGAAAGGCCAGACATATGCAACTATGCAAGAAGCCCTCAATACATTGTGGTAAAGAAAAGTATGAAGCCACAACCTGCAAAATTTGCACAGAAGTTATTATTTTAAATCTTAAAAAGACTGAAGGAAATAGACAAATTATACAGCCAAAATAGAAGTAAGGATTCTCAATAAGAGCAAGTTTCTAATATAGTGAAGATGTGATTGAGTTCATAATTTAAATTCCTGGAAACAAAGAGAACAAATTCCAGTCTATTAGTATTCTGGATGTCCTTTTATCATTTGCTAAGATTCTTCTTTTGTCCCTGGAGCCAAGTGATGAGATGAGCAGTGAGCTAGAGTAATGACTACTCGAGGAAATTAGTCTGAAATTGCTTGGAAGAGTTTCCTAGAGTGGGGCGGAGGGGCCCCGGAGCGGAGGCGGTGCGGAGGCTGCGCAAATGGAGAAGAAGGGTGGGATTTGGGAATGAAATGGAGAAATTGCAGACGGGTGGGAACTGGGAGTTCTGGGACTGGGAAGGTTTTACATTTTTTGGATTGGACTGGGCCTTCCTTCTTGCGCTGGAATTAACTTATAACTGAAAAAAAAAAAATCAAGCCCAAAGTCCAGTGTGGGCCTGTGCCCACACTGGACTGTACATGGCTCCGCCCCTGTCCCGAACCATTTGTTTTTTGGAGATTCGTTTGCCAAATAACTGGAGAACGTACATGTCGATTTCCATGTCCCTGAAAAAGAGAAATTTATAGTTAGGATTTACTGATTTCTGTCATTGTTCAAGGTGCATTGATTCATACTAGAACGATCTTTCTAGCGAGCAACTGACCGTTGACATGTGATCAACAATATTAGGTTAAATTTTAGACACTAAAATACTTACTGAAACTTGCTCTTTTCTTCGTCCCGCTGTAACTAAAGATACTATGGGATTCATATCCTTTAAAGGTACACAAGTGTAGCCAGGTCCTGGAGCCATTAGAGTTAGATTTAGAGGCTTGTAACCAGCCGAATTCTTTTCCAAATTGCCAATTGTAAGCTCAAAGGATGAGTTGGACATGGAAGGATCAACAGCATAGGCAGCAAGGATCCCACCATGGCAACAAGCCAACAACCATCCGTCTTGTTCAGGCGATGCATCTGGCATCAGATCAACCATCACCGGATCTTTCTTACAAGAAGGTGGTACTTGGTATTTGAAAGACGAACAATTTCCTTCTTGGATAGCAAAAGCACCAGACATCGACCAAATGATCTCGTTTCTGGCCCATGTCCAACCTAGTGTCCATCCCGGTTTCTCTACATCACGATACTGGTAGTAGTTTTGGATCGTTACTCTTGCCTACAAAAAGCATCCAGATTAGTGGATGACAATACAATTACAGGTGATTATGTCATAGAACATTAAATTACAAAATTATATGAAGTATGAATACAGATATATGGACAAGCAAAATTTGAGCTTGGCTTCTTGAATCACTACTAAAGCCAATTCAGGTTGTTCACATAATCAACAACTTCACTAGTACTACATAAAACATAAGGGGCATGCTTGCTATGCTGCAATAGACATGAATTGAACACCACAACAAACAAAATTTTACTTTTTTCTTTAGTGTTTGGCGATGTCTATCCACCTCACTTAATATGCTCGAAGTAACTCTGAAAAGATAAGCATCATTTAAACCTTTTTATCTTGATATAATTCAAAGGTAAAAGATAGATAGCAACTTTGATAAAAGAATAATTTCAATATAAAACATAATTAAAAGTTTCCAAAAATTGTATACTTGAATATTTTAAAAGTGACTGTAAAATTCCCATTCGGATCCAAAGGGTCGTAGCAATCTGAAACCTGAGAAAGCAACTAGCTTCAATATACAAGAAAATAATACGTGATAAAAGAAAGAAATAAAGAGAAATATGATGCCTGAAAATCTGCACATCACAATTAACAAGAGCAATATCAGTAGATAATGCCACCGGGGAGAAGTGATTGACTCCATTTTTTTGGATAACATCTGGATTAACTATAGTGTAGACAAAAGGGATGATGTAAGACTATACAGAGAAATCCAGCTAGCTCATTTCTCAACAGCATGCTTGACCGGACGCTGGAAACAAAGAATAAACATAGAAAACATCATTAAATTAATAACAGACAAAAACCACATCGTAGTACAAAATTCTCTGGTGTAAAATCAGCAACAAAGAAAAATGCTACATGTACAGGCTGTTTTTGCAGTCTGGTTTACAGAATGCCAGCGGGCAAGGTTTCATTGAATTTTGGATAAAAAAAGTTAAACCAGTCAATTGAATTTTGCCATCTTGGCACCTGTAAATTCATCTGTACAATCTGTACAAGTAACATTTTTGAGCAACAAAACATAAACAATTAGAGAGTCCCAATATTCCTTTCTCCATGGAAAGAGACATGAATATAAAGGCGGAATATGCAACATGGAAGCCTCGTGCAATATATTAATCTGTTAATTTTACAAGTAATATACTACATAGTATGTTTAAGATTTGAGGGACAGTTTCCAAAAATTTTATCGCCAAACATAACAGCGTATCCAATTTTAATTTCTTGAATCCCAAGACTTAGAAATTCTCAAGTATAATGCTATATCAATAAAAATTGGCTCATTATAAGAATAGAACCATATATGGAGAGAACGTCAAAGTTTATAGCCAATCCTACTATTGCTATTAATCTAATGCTGACAAAAACTTGCCAAAAGTGCAAGGAAATATCTAAACGAAACAGAAGCCAAAATGTATTTCACTGCGCCTTGCCATGAATACACGACAAGCCAGGTTAATACAGCAAGCCTGTCACTAAAATTTCACAATGGTAACTTAACTTTGTTTCATTCTAAATTAGTTATTCTTGCTAGGTCCATTATTTTGATTAACAAAACAGCTATGCGCCGCGGTACTACAGTTGGCAAATAATTAGATTGAGACGTTGGCTTTTTCCGTCAATTAACATAATAAAGTTTCGAGTTTTTGTGACCAAGAGATGCAGTAATTAGATTCACTACTATTCCTAAGTTAGCAAACTCGGATTCATACCACCAAGGCTGTCAATGGATCGGATATGGACCGGATCTACCCATATCCGATCCGATCCGATCCGAAAAGAATGATTTACGGATCCGATCCGATCCGATAAACCGATGGATATTTGATTGTTAAATCCATATCCGATTTGCTATATTATCGGATATCCGATCTCTTTATAAAATGTGTAAGCAATTTATTGCAATATAAGGAAATAATCATATTAACGTGTTGGTAATTGACTAATTGGCATGTTCAAGAACAATCCACAAGATAATACCAAGTTAAAACGAACCAAAATATACATATTGCAATAAATACATATCCAACAAATGTTCTAGAGAGAAGTAAGCAACAAAATTTCAAAACTAGGAAAACAAAAAAAATGTCAAGTGCAGCTTTAGAAGTTTTGGCTCTTTCTCCATATCATGTCACCCACCATTCCACCGCACCTACAAAAAAGACGTTTAAGAATAAAGGGTGTACCAAATAGATATCATTTCAAGAAATTAAAAACATAGATTTATAAGTAAAACTTACATAAATTTCAATCTTTAAGGAACATTATTTTTGGTTTTGTGGGGCCTTGTTTGTAGCATTTATGTCAAGTTCTACAAGAACGTTACAAATTAATTACTTGTAAGGAATAAATAATAATATATATCTACTCGAAAAAAATATAACCAAACTCAATAATCAGCATACTTACTCTTCTTTTTCGAGGGAAGCCAATCTTGTGTAGTCACCAAAGCCTCTACGGTTTCCGGAAGCAATGAAGCACGAAAATCATCAATTACTCTTCCTCCCACACTAAATGCAGCCTCATACGCAACAATAGTTGCTGGAACAACTAATATGTCACGAGCAATTTTTCCAAGAGTAGAGAATTTAGCACTATTAACTTTCCACCAATTCAAAACTTTAAAATTTTCAGTTCTTGGAAATAATGACTCCTCCAAGTATTTCTCTAACTCTGACTTTTTAAAAGAAAATGACAAATTAGAAGCTCGAGATTGTGTTGACCAAGAATCAAACCCACTCAGTTTGTCCTCTAGAGAAGCCCCCATTCCATGATCACTACTAGAACCAAGTTCTTGACTTACTCCCACTTGAGATTGAGATGAACTGTCATCATACTCATTGAAAATGTCAAATATTGCCTTACGAACTCTTTCAAAATATGTATGCGCACCAACACCATAGAGCTTAACATAATAATATTCAACCAAATCCATTTTAAATCTTCGATCAAAAACAACATCAACTGCTAATACCAAACAACATTCCTCCAAATATTTAACAAACTTCAATTTCATAAGGCCAACCATTATACACAAAAAGCTATGCTCACTACTTTCCCACTTAGATAAATGTAGTTGAATATTACAAACATCAGAAAAAAACACATTTGATGTGGGAAAATGAGAACCAGGAAAAATGATTTGTTGCATCATAAAATATTCTCAAGCAATCATATATAACTTTTAGCAATTTTCCATTCTTCATCACTTGGATAGAGTTTATAATTACGATTTGTTTGTACTAAGCGCCAAAGCACATCTTTCATCTCTATTGCACTTTCAATCATTTGAAAAGTATAATTCCACCTAGTAGAACAATCCACCTTATTTTTTGCATGAGTAAATTTTTGTGTTGCATATGGAGACCTTTTCAAATACTTCATAGTTTCTCTAACCTTATGAATAAACTCTCCAATTACTTTTAACCCATCTTGCACAATCAAATTAAGAATATGAGCACTACAATGCACATGAAATAACTCACCTTCCAAATGTATTGCAGACTTGTCACAAAGTCAACTTTTCAAGCTTCTTACCATCGCATCATTAACACTAGCATTGTCAACCACCATGGCGAACAATTTTTTCTCCAAATTCCATTCCAAAATCATATCAGTGATGTATCTGAAAAGAGTTTCTGCATCATGAGGACATTTAATACATCTATAACCAATTATTTTTTTGTTCAATTCCCAATCATCATCAATAAAATGAGATGTCAAGCATATATAACCAATATCTTGATGATCAGATGTCCAAAGATCAGTAGTTAAAGTGATTCTACCTGGAA